GAATCCGCCTCTTTGCGAGACGAAACCAGCATCGCTCAGCCTCATCTCCCTCGTCATCTCGAGGTCAGGGCGGAGAAATGTTTCGCAGGACAAGAAAAGCTTGTCTGCGGCACGCGCTGCACTGAGGCTCTTGCCGGTTCAGCCTCCGACCTGGGAAGACCCACCAAAAACACCATCCGCTCGCTCGCTTACATATCGCACGCAAAAAGAGTGCAAAAAGAACGCAAAACATACAACAGCCGGGATTCGCTGCTGGTCACCCACGCAACTACTAATCGGTCGCAAGGTAGCTTATCTATGGAAGAGCGGACGGGGTTCCGAGTTTTCTACCTGCTATGGTCGTATGTGGGAAAAAGTGTGAAAGAATTCCTTTATGAATAAGAGCAAAGCCAGGAAGGTTCCTCGAGCCCACCACCGCATCTATTCATCAAGTCGACGTGCTTTTGACACGTTGGGAATTGATTACGTACCTTCTGTTTCTGCTGGTAGTCTTTCCACAACAGTGCGTCGCCATTGGTACAACTTGAGCGAAAGAATTCCCCAAACCCCCACCGGAACCATCAAGCCGAAATTCGATCGCTCAGACACCTTGCATCGTCGACGAATTTGCAGTCGAGTCGCCTGCCAAAGCTGCATCTTGGCAAGCATGTCCGCTTAGACGAAGCGTGGCCAGTGGAGCGGACTGCGGGAAAAGCTGCCGCTTTGGCAGCGTTTGCAGCCAATTCCTAAAGTTGTCCTCAGGTTCAAGGTTTTCCAATCCCCGGAATTAAGCGCCATTTCCCGACCTCGAGGAATAAAGTTTGCAGACCAGGAGGCTAGAGCTATCTCCATTGGTGAATTTGTCAACACAGCGAGACGCTGAAGCTGACAAAAGATGACCAAGTCCAAAGCCGGCCATCCAATCATGGACTCAACTCCATCAACCAACCACTCGGCTTTGCTTCATGGATAGCCTTAGCAAACAGTCGCCACTCGACCCCGCCGGCTCCTCGCCGAACTCTTGACGACTGGAGTAGTCGATGAAGCTATGCGTCGCATGACGCAACGGGCGTCGTCGTCGTTGCAACATCGAAGAGGGATTTCTTTCGAATTTTTCGGCGCTACAGCAGCCCATTGGTGCCGCCGTCAAACCTTGTGAAATTAGGCCACTACCTGATGGAGCAGCTTCAAGCGCTTCAAGCTATACCCACACGGCTGGGCGTCGACGCTGCTGTCGAATAGGCGAGTAGGATTGGAAGCCGCAATCCGTTTCTCTTGAAAGTGGGTCTCTAATCGTCTTGTTTGTCGTCCAGATGTCTTACACAGCGTCTCGCTCTGCTGTTGCGGCCTCTGCTCCGATGGTTGATGGTGTTGGAGGCGCGAGACGGCATCTGCTCCAATTTCCTTGATGACTCGCGGACGAGGAAACGCCGGGTCGATGTAACAGCGGTGCCACAATGGACGAGGAGTGGATGAAGAAGTGGCGGCGCTCGCTGGGATGGGTGTGCGAAGAAGCATTGGGTGCCAGTAAAGGTTTTTATCAAGCATAGCTGACGACAAAGAAGGTCGCGGGTGTGGTGAAGCAGTGGAGATGAGGGCGTGACGATCAACACGCGAAGCGGAAACAAGTCTAGACATCAACCTAAACCGACGACGCTAAGCCTTTTGGACGTGCTCTCAGCCTTACGATGCCAAGCTCTCGACCACTTCCGGGGACGAAACACCGACCTTCACCTGCCGACGCTCCAGAAGAATGCACCAAGGCCTGCAACCCTGACCCTCTGAGACCCTCCCTCGTCATCCACGTAGGACGCCGTGCTGCCGACTCTCCAATTGCGCCGCCTCCCCGCAAGGTACCCGAGGCTCCTATGCATCTGCCCCCGCGCCCTCACGCCGGCAAGATTACTCTTAGGTCTAAGGCGCGTAGGGAAGGGCGCACCAAAGCCCGCAACCCCACGTCGAGCTGCCCCCGTATTCGTCAAGTCTCGACCAACACGAGCTCCGCACGCCGTCAAGGCGACGGCTTTGCTTTTGCGGTGACGGCTTGAATGCTTGGACCGCGTGATGGTGGACCGCAGCATGGCAGAACTGGACCCAAGGCCTCTACAGCACTGCGCCGATGCTTGAAACATCAACGTCAATCACACCCTTGTTGTGGTGCCCTGGTCATCCGCGGCTGAACCCAGCAATCAGAAATAATGGCCTTTTATTGCCTCTCCTACACCCACGTCTTCTCTCACCACATCTTTCGTCTACGGCATCGTCATTCCTTTTGCGTTCCGTCATTCTCTTACTCGCTGCACAGGAGAGCTGCTCATTTGTCAGTCTTGACGACTGCATCACACTCTTTCAAACAAAAAGCGGATTCCTTGATCTTGGCCACTAAATCGCCATGAAGGCGACACTCCTTCTCAGTGCCCTCTTTTCCTCGTCCGCTCTTGCCGGAGTGATTCTTCCTCGTCAGGATGAGTCGTACGTTGAGATTTCCGCCCCACCTGTCAATCTCTCCAGAATGCTGATCACCGACGATCAATAGGATGTCCGGCGGCGGCGAACAACCAACATCGCAAGATGCTGCTGGAGGTGGCGGCGGTGGTGGAGGCACTTTCAAGTTTGCGCCATTCTGCAAAGCTTCTGGGTCGGCGACGCAAAACCCCCAGGACCCCGTCGCCAAGCAGTTCATGGCCTACCACAATGTACACCGCACATTCCACGGTGCATGTTCGCTGCTTTGGGACCCCGCATTGGCCAAACAAGCACAGGCCGCAGCCAATACGTGCAAGTTCCAGCACCAGATGACTGGGTAAGTCCAACCTTGTCGTTTTCATTCCACGACATCACGGGCCACTCACTTCCCCTTGCTCCGTATTCTGTCTGGTCCACGCTTGCCCAATGATCCCTTTCTTGTATGATGAGGTCTAGCTGACAACGCGCAAAGTGACAATGGCCAAAATGTTGCCGAGCAGTCGGCCTCGGGCAACATCCCGGCTGGCACCGTGTCCATGTGGTACGAGGAAGGATCCAAGACCAACTACCAGGGCGGCAACATGCAGCAAGGCCACTACACGCAAGTGTTGTGGAAGGATACTTTTGCGCTCGGCTGCGGCGTTAAGAACTGCGGGCAGATGACGCTCGTGTTCTGCGACTATGCACCTGCTGGTAAGTCATTCTGCGAACTCTGGTTAGGAATATCGTTACTAATTCTCCTCTCCTTTCAGGTAACATGATGGGCGCCTTCGAGCAAAACGTCGGCAACATCGTGCCCAACGCTCGCCCTGTCTGCGCCGAGCAGCAAGCCATGTCGCAGTACGCCGGCAGCGGCGGCGGCCAGGGTGGTGGCAGCGGTGCTGGAGGCAAGTGTATCACCGATCAAGAGCTTGGTCTTCCCGCTAGCGCAGGTGGTTCTGGCGGCGGCGGCGGCGGCGGTCAAATGAAGAAGGGCAAGGGTGTATTGCGTGGAAACCAGCAGGGCGGCGGTGGAGGAGGAGGAATGAGTCCGTTTGCACAGATGTTCCAGGGCGGCGGCGGCGGCGGCGGCGAAATGGGCGGTGGTTGAGTGCGACTTGAAGTTGAGTACTTTTCATTCTCCATGTGCGATATTCCGTGCAACGCTTATTCAACACGATGTATGTAGCGATGGTGTTCACCTTTTGCGACGCAAGAAACGGAGTTTGCTTTTGGTGCTCCACCTGCATCTATCCATGCTCCTGAGGTTACGCTATGACATGCCCGATAATCACTCCCAAACATTGACCGAAAAAGGAACATTTCCACGTCCGCGGATAAAGTTGGTCGAGCAGCCGCCCCCGTGCGATCATCTCCGGGTCCTCAGCTTGACCACGTCTCGACCCAACTCAATGCGGTGATTATCGAGGAGAATACTTGACTGTGAGAGCACTGAACAGCACTTTGGCAGCTACCCGCCAAATAAATACTTCTCGACAAGCCCATCTCCTGTCTTCGCAGCACAAAAAATGGCAGCCGCTTAACTCCGCAAAGCCCAGGAGGTGGTGGACTGCCCTACGCACGACGAGCTTCTCTCCGTTACCAGTAACATCCTGATGGCTGTGACGGCCCGAGCCTTGTTCATTCCTGGTGGCAACATATGCAAACGCGACGTCAAGCTGTCCGACTCAGGGACAGGTGTCGTCGATGCAAGTGGGTCCTTTCCTAAACGAGCAGTTTTCATCCGGGGACAAGCGGCATTAGATGGAGATACCGTCAATTCACTGCGGTGCTGCTGGGCCTCGCATGCCGTTCTTCGCCCCTTGGATTTTTCTCCATTGTTCTGGTAGTGTTCGGTTTGCTAGTCGTTTGCGAGCGAGTACGAGGTTATACCGAAAGTGCGTGAAGCTTTCCGAGTAACGAGAGTGGCGATAGAGCGCAATGTCCAGAAGTTCTTGATGTGCCTCTCAAGTCGTGATAAGGAGCAGATTTCAGCTCTGTTGGACATGAAGAGCGAGTTTGTTCGACAAAATTCGAAGTCTCTGAGCCGCTTTCCAGAACTCAAGTCTGGTTGACAAACCGACAGACCAAACACTTCTTGAAAATCTGTAGTTTCCTTTCCCGCCACACCATTTCCACCTCTTGCATACCTGTACGGCTAACGCGAAGGTAATGAGGAGGGATCCACCGCGGAGAGAGGAGCATCACGTGTGCTATACGTCGATGATAAACGGCAAAACCACAGATCCAGACGTCGGATTATCTCGGGGGTGAGCACGCAGAGAGATGTAAGAGACGACGTGTTGTTCTTGGCCGAGGCGACATATGTTGTGTTTGAGAAAAAGAAAAAAAGCGATGTGTGACGTCAATTCCCGCAGCCTCGGCAATCCCAGTAAACTTCATTTTCACAACGCACAGCACCACCGGTGTCTAACAGATATCCGACGAAGGATACTGCTTTCGCCCGACCCCCACAACGTTTGAGACAAATCTTAGCCGCAGAATCGCATTCGGGGACACATTACCACCAAGATGGTATGATTATAATCAATAATAAGAAGACATTTTCCATCGCAGCGCCAGTGGTTTAGTGGTAAAATTGATCGTTGCCATCCAAGATTCGATCAGCCCCCGGTTCGATTCCGGGCTGGCGCACTGGGACTTACCTACCCGCCCCCTGCGTTGGTGGTTTAGTGGTAAAATTGATCGTTGCCATGCATCTTTGCATTCTCGATCAGCCCCGGGTTCGATTCCCGGCCGACGCATTTCTTTTGCTCTTTTGATGTTATCTTGTCACTATGTCGTTCTTGTTTTGCGTCCTGGAGGTGCTGGTGAAGTTTTGGGGGGTTTCAGGGGCTCAGGGGCTCAGGGGGTGGTGGTGTGCGGCACAGCGTGTTGTTGCGGCAGGAACGAGGAGGAATGGAAGGAGTGGGGCTAGAGCGCCTCAGTATCTACTAATGGGCGGCAGGGAGGTGATGGTCTTGCTGAAAATATGCGACTGGTGGGCAGGGATGTCGACGGCCAACCGAACGCTCGACAGCACTCGATGTGCCTATCCCCAGCCCACAAGAGCAAGCATTCGCAGCGTCTTCAAAGGCAGTACCTATATCTCAGTGACTCTAGCGGAGCTAGTGAGCGACTCCAGTTAGACGCCCCGTGATGCGATGACCTTTTCAATATGGAAACGTCGAGGTGCACCAAGTATCCATCTTCATCCGCAGAGCACAGTTCGACTGCTCATATGCTGTGATACAGAGGCATGGATTTTATGGCTAGAGCGAACGAACGACGTTGTCCAAGGACGAAGAACCATTCGATTTGCGTTATTGCTGGCAGCCCAACAGCGTACTTTCACGTTCACTGATCACACTTCACGCTTTTGGATGATCACTGGTTTGAAAGTGTATCATGACATGGGCTGAGGCGTCATCACGAGCAATCAATTCATAGGAAATTGCCAGGCAGCGATTGCTGCACTTAATGCAGCTGACAAGCTGATTCTGAGCTTCATCACAAACAGCACAACGCAGCAAGAGACAACAAGCCCATTCGTGACAAAGTCGTGTTGGAAACGGGTCACTCAAAAAGCCGGTCCACGTAAGTAAGACTACCTACCGATCAACCCACAAGCCCCAAAACGCCCACATACAAATATACCTGTACATGTAAACCAAAAAGCAGACCAACAAGCCTTCCACAGCATGGCCAACATCGACAAGGAAAGGCAGAAGCACCGGGACCATCCCGAGCCGAAAAGACGTTTTGGTGTGAGCCATCTCCGAGTCAGTCCCCATGCAACACAGGCGAGACGGAAAGGACATGGCAGGGCAGATACGCAGTGAGGCTTCGCCAGTCAAAGCAGGAGAACAACAGTAGCCCATCACAGCCCGCGCTGGACTGGACCAACTGTCTTATCATTGCGTTTGCAGCTCCAGGCTCTGGCCACGCTAGCACCTACGCGCCGTCTCCCCCCACCACCACGCGACGATGGGCACCATCCCCACGAGATTAAGCTCTAGCGCAACAAAGGCCACGGCGCGCAAAAATTTTGCGTCTAACTGCAGAGATGCATGTACTGTATTTTCAAGCAAGGGCGAGGAAATCGGGATGGGAAGGAAGAGGGTTTAGGACAGCGCGATGGCGCCGCGCCGACTCTCGCGCACGTGCAGATATGCTTGTCCGGCACAAAAGATGAGGAAGACCTGAGCAGCAGAGGATTGTTAGAATGCTTTTGGTGGCGGGGGAGAGCCAGGTGGGAGGCGGAAGACGTACGCCGTAGACTGCTACTGCACCGAATACCGAGGCGGCGACGACCTGGCCGTTCTCTGGATCTTCCGTCGAGCCCATCATGACATGGTTGTTGGTCTGCGAGAACTCGCGTTAGCTCGTCCCGTGTACAGTGGTGCCAGAATCGTAGTTGACAATCGATGTGGTATTGCGGAGGAGCAGTGGCGGGGGCCAGAGCAGCGATTTATGATTCGAGTTTTCGAGGACATCGATAGACCTACCTTGAATAGCGAGCCGATGACGGACAGGATTACGATTGCGAAGACGGACACGACGATGCTGCGGCGTCGTGTTAGCGGGATCCAACGGTCCATAAGCTGGGGATGATCATTCGCAAAACATCCACAAGCCCTCATACAAGCAGACAGACTGCAAGTATGCGAGCCATGAGAGACATCGGTTGGGGTGCTGGCGCGTACCATGTCCATGCATTCAGAGCAGAAACGACGGGCTTCATTATGGCGGTCGAGTACTATCCGAGAGCTGCGGCGGTCGGCGGTCGGCGGTCGTCGGAGCAGAAACGGTCGCAATCGAGTGGCAGTGCTAGGTAGAAGCTCACAGCGGCGGACAATTCTGCGAGCGAGCGGGAGCGGTCGTGGGCACTTTTTGCTGGATGGCTTGGTGTCAGAATGGGATGACGACGTTGACGGAGATGGGCCACGGCTGGTTGGTGAGCGGACGTCTTGGCGGGCGGTGTGACGGGAACGGCACAGGACTAGTGCAAGACCGGGGTCGGCATTGGGTACACCAGCAGGAATCACCGAGTCAGAATTTTATAATTTCATGCTTCATCCCGCTTGCACTTCGAGGAATTCAACCTTGTTGGCGAGGTTCTTCAGAAGAGCGTTAAAGTCACATTGATTGTTGATTTGTGAGCCGTGCTCCTTGACGGGTACTTTCCTTCATCTCCTTCGACCTCTCCTCGCGCTTGTTTTAGTCTTCTGCCGACGGGAATGCGTCAAGGCCCTCGCTTCTGAACTTCTACTATTTCATGCCTTTCCTCGAGCATCCACATGCTCCGGCGCACGTGCCGACTGTTTGTCAGTCACTCACCTTGTAAATCACCTCAAAGCTCGGCCGGCAATGTCCTTTCGATACTGCATGCCCTCAAAGTGAATGGCCTCGACGCCCTTGTACGCCTTCTTGACCGCCTCCTCTAGAGTCGGTGCCCATGCAGTCGACGCGATTACGCGCCCACCAGCAGTGCGAAAGACGCCGTCCTTGAGGCTCGTGCCGGCGTGAAAGTGGACCGTGTCTTCAGGGACGGGATCCAGCTTCATCTCGATGCCCTTCTTGTAAGGTCCAGGGTACCCACCAGCAGCCACCACTACAGACGTAGCAGCTCTGTCGGCAACCTTGACCTCGAAGCCACCAAGCTTACCCTCGGCACCGGCCAGCATGATTTCAGCCAGGTCCGTCTCCAAGAGGGGCAGCAGTGACTGGGTCTCTGGGTCACCAAAGCGGACGTTGTACTCAAGTACTTTGGGTCCGTTCTTGGTCATCATGAGACCAGTGAAGAGACAACCAACCATGGGGTAGCCTGATACCCATCAGCATCCCATCCAATGGTTGAAGGAGTCATACCATACCTTCAGCCCGCATGCCGTCAATGGTGGGCTGCTGAATCTCCTTGTGAATTTTGTCCACCACCTCCTTGGGAGCAATACGAGTGGGAGAGTATGTGCCCATGCCGCCAGTGTTGGGGCCCTGATCGCCGTCAAAGATGCGCTTGTGGTCCTGTGCAGGTGGCAGGCTCTGAATGGTGGTTCCGTCGCTGAAGCTCAAAATGCTGAGCTCGTCACCCTCGAGGAACTCCTCAATGACGACCTCGTCGCCGGCAGCACCGAACTCCCGGTCCAGCATAATATCCTTGAGCGCCTTGTGGCCCTCCTCTTTTGTTGTGGGGATGATGACGCCTTTGCCCGCAGCCAGGCCGTCGGCCTTGATGACGACGGGGTGGTCGACGCTGTCCAGGTATGCGCGAGCGGCATCGTGCGAGGTGAAGTTTTGGTAGGCAGCGGTGGGAATGTTGTGGCGCTTCATAAAGTCCTTGGAGAAGGTCTTGCTGCCCTCCATGCGGGCGGCGGCGCCCGAGGGACCAAAGGCGCGAATCTTGGGAGCATTGGCCTTGAAGTGGTCTACGATGCCATCGACGAGGGGAGCCTCGGGACCAGGGACAAGAAGGTTGACGTCATTCTCGAGGGCGAATTTGACGAGTCCGGGGAAGTCGTCGGCTTTGACCGTCTCAATGTTCTTGGTCTTGTCGAGGGCGCCGGTGCCGCCGTTGCCGGGAACAACAAATATCTGGTCGATGCGCGGGGATTGGGCGAGCTTCCATGCAATGGCATGCTCGCGGCCGCCGTTGCCGACGATGAGGACGCGAATGTCGGCCATTGTGTCAGGGTCGAAGGATTGATTGATTGAATGTTGTCTGGCTCAAAGTGCAATGCCCCGCGGCGCAAGCTCTGAACTTTTGGTGGAGATGGTCCGATTTGCGGGGCAAGCCTGGCCAGGAAGTGGTTGCCGCGTCTGCCGCCGCTCGCTCCACGCCGGTGCGGACACGATAAACGCGTGATCCTTGCTCCCAGTTTTCCTTCGCGTGCGATAGGGCTGGCGCAGAGGGTTGACTCCATCTCGAACCACCAGCGAAAGACTCGTCCAGCGAGCCTACCGAGGTCGCTGCCTGCGCACACTACTACTCTCTACCACCATGGCCTCCGTCATCAAAGTCCCCTGCTCCTCCGCCAACATCGGCCCCGGCTTCGATGTCATCGGCCTCGCCCTCTCCATCTACCTCGAGCTTCACGTCACCCCCAACGATGCCGCCGCACAATCCAGCCCTCTCAACTGTCGCATAACCTACGAAGGTGAGGGCCAAGATGAAGTCAGCCTGGACCCAGACAGCAACCTCATCACCCGCACCGCCCTCTACGTTCTCAAGTGCCATGGCCAAAGGACATTCCCCGGCGTACACGTCCACATCAAAAACCCAATTCCGCTCGGAAGAGGCTTGGGAAGCAGTGGAGCCGCAGTGGTGAGTTGCAACGTTGGGTGCGCAAAATCATGCGCCGGCTGATGCCTGCCCAGGTTGCTGGTGTAAACCTTGGAAATGAAGTCGGAAAGCTTGGTCTCACCAAGGCCAGAATGCTGGACTACTGCTTGATGATTGAAAGACATCCGGACAACGTCGCCGCCGCACTCTACGGTGGATTCGTCGGGACGTACCTCAACGAGTTGGATCTCGAAGACATGGCCCGCAAGGAAATCCCTCTGGCAGAGGTCCTGCCCGAGCCTGCAGGTGGTGTCGACACTGGTCTGCAGCCGCCGGAGCCCCCACTCAACATTGGTCACTACAAAAAGTTCAAGTGGGCAAAGGAAATCAAGTGTATTGCCATAATACCCCAATTCGAGGTCTCGACTGCCAAGGCCAGAGGAGTCCTTCCCGAAAAGTACTCTCGTTCCGACATGGTCTTCAACC